TTATTCCTGGAAAAAGTAATTTAAATTTTAAAGTTTTATACTTTTGCAAAAGTTCTGTAAATGACATCCCTTTGCGTTGTTTTGCATTCAATTCACATCACATATGAATATTCTTTACTCATATTTTCGTTATAACTCTTTATAAATAATTAAAATCAGTTTCCACTCAAAACTATAATGTGTTTTAGTGAATATATTTAGTAAATATATTAAATTCAATAACTAGTGGTTTCTATGCAGTGTTTAACTAAAATATTTATTACATGATATTCATAACTAATTTATATATGAATTTACTGAAGACATCAAACATAGGACCAAATTGTTATAGCATTTGACCAAAAATTATTTTATGCATAATATTAAATATACAACAGATATAACATTTCATAGTAGAGTAATATAAGGCATATTAAAGTCATGTCTCTATTATGTAATAAATATACAGCATTTGTAGTATTATTTTTTCTGGAAGTTTTATCTCTTTTGCTTTGAGTGTTTTTGTGTGTTTATTAATGAGAATTTTATGTATATTTTTATCGATATTTGAAATACAAGTATTTTATGATGGGTTTAACATTGCTTTGAAGTAAAAGTTTACAGAAAATGTCAAAAACATTTTATTTTGGGTAACAATAGATAATGAAGAGTAGAAAATAATAGAAATATAATGACAAAAATACATATATAAGTTATATAACATCTAATAATACATAGACTTTTGAAATTAGTTGTATATTGAATATTATTTAATGAAAAGTGAATTTATTTCATGTACATATTTTATATCATTTATAATCTATCATTCAATACAAATGTTATGTAATATAACACAAGAATTGATTTTTTATATTCACGTTTCATTCTCTTTCTATCCCTTTATCTGAATAGTAATGAACCGATAATACGATAATGTCTTCAAACGACGGCAAAACACTTTCAATGTCTTCATGCGTTGGGTTCGCAAACATCGCTAATAAAGATCACAATAATAGTGACAAATAATCAAAAAGTGGATCTCATAGACAAGTGAACGATGTCTATATCAATATCGACTGCACCCATGCATTCACATAATGGGAGCGCCGGTTGGCGTCCGTACGACACGACGGCGAGTGCGCTCATGTCGTCGGACAGCATATCATTGATTAACTTATTAACAAACAGTAATACAACCGATAGTAACATAACGAGTGATCAAACGCTGCAAACGCTACAGTATTTACAGACAATTGGCTCAAACCTGTCGTCGGAGTTGGCGTCCGATTTAGAGGACATGGGCTCAGACATGAAGAAACGGACGTTCGCTGAGATATTTCTCGTCTCATTAGCGCTCGTGTGTCTCATATTAGCCACAATTATAGGCAATATATTTGTCATCTCAGCCATCATTTTGGAGAAGAATCTGAAATCTGTGGGCAATTATCTGGTGCTGTCTCTGGCGGTCACTGATCTGATGGTCGCCTGTCTAGTGATGCCTTTGGGAGCCTTCTATGAGATTACACAGGAGTGGACTTTCGGCTCATCCCTATGCGAACTCTGGACCTGTACTGATGTGCTCTGCTGTACGGCCAGGTATGACATAACATATTACTTTACACCAACACAACTACCCACTAATTGGCTTAATTTTGTCCTGTATTTGCTCTCTCTCTCTCTCTCTCTCTCTCTCTCTCTCTCTCATCAGACTTGTAGTAAACAAACAAATAAAACGTTAATTAAATATAAACTCCTTTTGCAATGGATTTGATGGTTGAGTGCACTATAAATACGAGAATTAACTGTTAGTTTAAGATTTAAGCAAAGAAATTACTGGTAATCCCTTATTTTAGACCAGAATTACAGACTATAGTGTAGATTATATTTAAGAAATAATTAGATTTGTAGAAAAAAACATGTTAATAAATCTGTTAATTAATTCTTAACACAATATTCTACACTACAGTATACAGTATATTATCTGTCAATATAATCTTGGTATTAATTTAAACAGATTTAGTAATTTGTTTTTTCTAATTAAATACTATTATTAATAAACACTTGTCAATGGTTTTCAAAACGAGTGCATTCAACTCATTCAATAAGTTTATTAAGTTTTCTGACATAATAATTGTTGAATAGGTTTATGAAAATTAATTTCAAGGCAAACATAATAATAATATTATGTCAAGATTTAGCTATCGATAAGCGATTTGTATAAATATAAATCCCATATTCAATAAGTTATCGTAAATATTCTGATGCTATTAATAGCCAACTTAATAGTCAACTAAACGCATAAATAGCTATTTCATTATTAACTTTGTAATTCAATGTTAGACTCAATTATGATTAATATTGATATACACTGTATGTATATTTTTATTGACACATTTCAGTAGACGCTTAATGTAAATATAAATTTAATTAAAAACCAAAAAACATTAATAACTTGTGAAAAAACATTTGTTTCCCAATCGATACAAAGTATATTACACCTGTTGGCGATCGCTTGCGACCGGTTTTGGGCCGTAACTAACGTGGATTACGTGCACCAGAGGAACGGCCGCCACATCGGCGGTATGATTGCCGTGGTTTGGGTCGTGTCGGCCGTCATCTCATTGGCGCCGATACTCGGATGGAAAGACTCGGACTTTGAGCGCCGGATAAATGAGGAGAAGCGGTGTCTGGTCTCGCAGGACGTCTCCTATCAGATATTCGCCACAATGTTCTCGTTTTACGGCCCGTCGGCACTCGTCTTAATACTCTACTATCGCATCTATTTGGTGGCCAAGAAGCGGATCCGACGCAAGTCGTCGGGTGGCGTGCGGGCCAAAGGGCACAAACGGCTGGGCTGTGCCGCACAGGCGCACCACCAGTCGGTGCCCAACACATACATCTCGGGCACAGAGATGACAACAATGACTTATAACATATCGTCGAGTAATGGGAGTAACGCGAGTTCCGACAACG